CAAGAGAGAGATAATATTATCCCTGAGTGGTGCCAACATAAGAGGGGGATAATATTATCCCTGAGTGGTGCCAACAAGAGAGAGATAATATTATCCCTGACTAATGCCAACAAGAGAGAGATAATATTATCCATGAGTGGTGCCAACATAAGAGGGAGATAAATATTATCCCTGGGTGGTGCCAACAAGAGAGAGATAATATTATCCCTGAGTGGTCCCAACAACAAGGGAGATAATATTATCCCTGAGTGATGCCAACAAGAGAGAGATAATATTATCCCTGAGTGGTGCCAACAAGAGAGAGATAATATTATCCCTGAGTGGTGCCAACATAGGAGGGAGATAATATTATCCCTGAGTGGTGCCAACAAAAGAGGGAGATAATATTATCACTGAGTGAATCAACAAGAGAGGGAGATAATATTTTTTTAAATAATTTTTGGTCTAATTCAGCTGTTTTGATTATTTTAGCACATTTTGCTGGTAAAATAGATTGTTCATGGACATAATATTTCCGTGTTGATAGAAAACACTGTTGCTATTAAAAATAACGTAAACTGCAAGATTTACGAATTAATAAAAAACATGTCTTCAAACAATAGCTTGCATTATTATCAATAATTTATATAAGAATTTGCTATTAGTAAAGAAGTTAAACAGGGATGTGTAAATAGCTCAACTCTTTCCAATATTTTTATTAATGATTTAAAGGATAATTTGGATAATGGCAATATTGAATTACCAATCCTGAATAACTCCTGAACACTGTTAAACTCTATTTTATATGAAGAAGATTTAGCCCTCACTTCTACTACCCAGGCTGGTCTATAAGACATCATTACACACACTAAATGAATATTGCACTAAGTGGAAATTGAGAGTGATGCTCTCAAAAACTCATGTTGTTATCTTTAGCATCAAAGGAAAACATACCAATCCTATTTTGTAAATGATAACATTCAAACAACAAATAGTTATACATATCTAGAAATCACAATAAATTCAAATGAGATATTTTTTTTGAAAGATTTAGCTGGTAAAGCTGGCAAATCAATTATCATCATTAGACATAAAACTAACATGAAACTATTTAACATTTACATAAAAAAACAAACCACAATTTGGCTTTATATCTCAAAAATATGGGCCCTAGACAAGCATACCTAGAACACACACAATACACAAACATAATACTAGTACATCTTTGAGTCGTATTTAAATGAGCTTGACACTTATAAGAGGGAAATGTTAACAAAATCTATAATTAGTAACCATAACTGAAGAATATTTTATATTGAATTGCCTAAAATATAACACACAGAGAAAACTTTATTTAAAAATGCATAAACACACAAACACATGTACAAACACACAATTCACATATATACTCTTAAGCAAAGGTCCCGGCATTATATTTACACAATGATTTATTTAACATTTACTAGTTACATACTTTTTATAATATTTTCACATGTTTATGTTGCAGACAACTATCGAAAACAAAAATAGCATGCACAAATTGTAGGTTGTAATTTTTTTTATTTAACCACTGCTAAAATAAAATGTATATAATATCTTTATACTGTTAATATTCCCCCAAAATTTCCCTAATATTTAAATGCCCTTCTCTTTATTTGGTTACACATTAAACTTATTCATATTCTAGGGCCTTGTTTGAACATCATATCTGTGCATTATGCTCTATTTAACCATGGCTTGCATACATTTAAAAACAGTCTCCCAACCAATCACAATGATGCATTCATGGCAGTAATACACTGTTATAATATCGTATTTCGTCTTCCGTTTATTTATTTCTCAGGTTTGTTGTATGATACCCATGTTTTAGTTCCATAATCGACTAAATTGTTGTTTTCGCAACTAAGTATAACCTATGACAAGATTCAACAATTACAGGCGCTATTTAATTACTATTTGCTACAGTTTTAGGAGTTTCCAATCAATGAGTTTCAATATACGTATCCAATATGAATACTAATTACTTCCAGTAACTAAATGTGATTTGCCTAACAATGAGAAAGATTTGAGACTGTCTTTATGACTATTAGTAGACACTACAAATGTGTTTGTTGGACGGGGAATATTTCAAACATAAGTATTGTTCTAGGGATGTGTGATTTTTACATATGTAATCAGTTTCAATGCAGTTTATAAGCTGGAATCAATTTATTGCAAACAAACCTAATTTCCTAACGAAACGCAGGTTTTTTTTTGGGAGGTTTTAGAAAGTATTGTTACATTTGGAAGTTCAGTTGTTTCCACTTATAATTTTACAGAGTTTGAGAGTAAATTTCAATGACAATGTGGAGGTTAGAATTTCAAATAACAATAGAACTTCTTTGTTCTTCCTGTTGAATAAATGCCACAGTTCAGATACTAAATGTCACAATTTTTTAATCCTGTTTTAAATATTTTTTGTCAAACATTTTCCGGAACACTGCTGGGTCTCAGTATTTTTATTTTAATAATTCAAATCTTTTATGAATTATTCAGGAGAAAACTCTGCAGTTCTGGACTCTAAGGATAAAATAGTTATAGCCACATTGGCTAATACTACATTGTTTTTTGTTTTAGCCATTTTCAAACTAGTTCAGCCACTTCACAAGATAAATTAAAAAATCACAATTTTGTCAGAAAATTTGAAAGTGAAATATCAGTCAATACAAAGGTTTTATTTTTTCGCGTCTGAGATAGGATTACAGCTACAAAATTGACTGTACAATTTGATGAATGTATGACTTGGATGTATAGTGCCCTAGGATGTTTCTCTCCTGCGTGAAACTTGCTCCTGTACCAATGTAACTGTTGCAGGTGGTGGTATAAGTGCAATGTTAGCAGAAATGCATCTTGGGTCATCAGGTTCAAATATCATTGTTCTGTACATCCCCTGTCTGTCAGCCATTCTTAGATCCAAAATGTTGGATTTTAGTTATGCAATATGAGGATATGTCTTCTCAGTTTTGATTGGTACCACCAACCATGGACCACTTTTTTTATTGAAGATTCTTTTGTACCTAATTACAGTAAAAATATATTATACATCTGGCAGTGCTACCACATCACACTAGTCAATATACATACTTTGTAGTATTGTAATACTTTCATAGTATTTTTACTGCTCAGTATTTAAGTTTTGGTTCAAATCTTGTTTTTATTTTCTGTACAAGATTTATGCATCAAGATACTAAATCCTCAGAGAATAAAACTAATTTTATACTCACATGATCTCCCCTTTCTGTTTTTTTCTGATTTCTCTATTGTAATTTACATTACGATCCATTGCTGCAAGACGGTTTCTTGCTCTATAAACTGGTGGAGTGTATGCAAACAATACTTTCATTAATACAATGTTTTTTTTATTATAAAGACACAAAATCTTATTCCAACAAGTCATTGAAAATGACACAGTCCCCGTTAAATTTTTGAAAGTTCTCTTTGTGCTTGTAATATTAAAGCAGAGGGGTGTTCGCGAGCGTGTCCTTGAAACCTGAGTTCCAAGTGGCGTACACAACAGATTGTTTATTTACATCAAAACACGTGTTCCGTGTAGTAGTAATATGGCCAAAAATAAAAACAACCGTTATTCGGCCATCTTTGATCTGATTATGAAACACACTGATATGTATGATGTATGTGCCAAATACGAATAAAAATGGTACATAAATTGTGGAAATATAGTAGTAAGACCAAAAAGTCAGATGGCTGCCATTCGGCCAACTTTGATCCAATTGTGAAATAAAGTATCATGGACATGTATCCTAACATGTATAATTTATGTACCAAGTTTGAATGAAAACTGACAAAGCATGTCCAAAATACAACATTTTCAAAAAACAAGATGGCTGCCAGTCGGTCATTTTGAATCGAATGGCTAAACCACTGCATGTGCATATGTCCCACATAAAGTACTATGCACATGCAAAGAATGAACGGAATCAGTCCAAGGGATTCTGAGATATGACTCTGCACGGACGCACAGAGACCGAATTATAAGTCCCCGTTGAAAAAAGAAATGACAGCCTTGTAATCTTGATTGTTAAGCTCACCTACCATTTAAGTAGTAAGGTATTTTTTCAGAAAGCGTTTATCGAATACAATATTGCGCAATGCATCAAGTGCCTTGCTACCTCTCTGTAACCACTCACCATCACCACTAGCTTCTTCAGTTAAGGGGCCATGGAGGCACTGACCAGTTCCAGCCTGGTCCACAGTCAAGCTCCACTCATGTTCATTTACAACATGGTGTAATAAGCCACCCCACATTCCCTGTAATGAGAACACAATTACAATCATTGAAACAAAGTATTGCCATGCACATAGTACATTTATATTATAGGCATGTAACATCACATGGCTGTTGAGGTGATATGCATAAAATGTGGCTACATAAAACTGCAATCAATCATTTTGGATTTGATAGTGAATAATTCATGTGCATTATGCAAGAATAAAACAATGGCCTCCAGTTGGTCATTTTGAACATAATCTGAATTCAGTAAGGTTTTTGCACAAACATTAGCTTAAAAGAAACATATCTGAGAAAGGTCAACTAAAGGTAGCTATATATAAAATATCAAAGCAATTGGGCTTACAGTTTTCATGCACATTATCAAATCAAAGAAAGATTAGAAAGAACTCCCATGTGCTGAGAATAATGGAGAAAATTAATTGAAAATTACTTGTATTTAACATATTGATGGAAACGCTGAAAACTTATTATGCAAATCAGGTAATTAACAGATTTGAGTGTAAAACTAATAAGGTCTGCGCAATGTAACAGACCATCTCTGTACCAAGTTTCATTGAAATGTGATTAGAACCAAAAAAATATGAATTATGCTAATTAGGGAATTAATATGAACAGAATTTAACCATAAGCATAAATATTGACCGAAAATTAATTTCTGTATAGTCCTAGATTCATTGAAATGTGATGATTAGTACTTGAGAAACCAGTGGAAAAGCTGAAAATTAATTACTTATGCAAATTTGGTAATTAATATGTACTGATATTACCAGGTCTGTGCAGTGTCCTATGACATCCACGTATCAAGTTTCATCAAAAACCGGTGTATGGTTCTTGAGATATCAGTGGAACAGACGAACACTCACATACCCACGTACAGATACACTGCAAAGATTCCCATTGTGTGCTTCACACACAGGAGTCAAAAATCTTACCAGAAACTCCATTTCTGTGGAAGCCTGTTGGCAGCAGTACCAAAAGTGGTTAGCAATATGCTTAGCCCATTCTAGTAGCATCTTACAATCTTTGACTTGCCCAGCCTGAAACAAATGGTTATACAGAATATGATTGATTCATTGTAATATAAATGAGATAAGCATAAGTTAATGTGCCTTCAAAGAATTAACACCATCATGTAGTTTAACAAGATAAATAACCATGCATATTGGTTATAACAGCAACGGTGATTTGAATAAAAACAATCCTAAAGGCATAAATAATGGCCAGGTAATTTCCTGTTGCCAAGTACAATTATGAACCAGATTGTCAAAAATGTTTTTGTTTATATTTCAGTAAAACACCTACTTTGACAATTTTCTTGGTAAGATTCTTAGCAGTATGCCATATATCCAAGGAGTGCTTTATTTCTGGATATATATTCTCTGTAAAAATAAATAAAGATTTGTTTATCTCTAATGAAAGTGAGACAGCATGTTCCAGTGAGGTGATCATCATTCAAACTATCTATTAATAACAAAGTTGGATTTAAAACAAGTAGCTTCTCGGCTGAGATAGTCCCAGTGTAAGCAATGAACATTTTAATTAAAGAACTGATGATATAATTAGAAAATGAACAAATCTGAGAGAGGTCTGCCTGAGGTACCTATATGTATAGTGTCAAAGCAATCAGATTAGCGGTTTTTAAATAAAATATCACTTCAAAGCAATGCTATATATTTTGTGATCATTTTCATAGTAATATTACCAGTTAACATTATACTATAGCTTGTCAGCTCATTTATTCAGCTATGACTAAATTGCTATAAATCTGAACAGAATTTAGCTTACTCATATCAGCTCCAATTTGTGGATGAGCATCAGTCACTATCTCTGCAATCTGTGCCCCTTTATCTCACAGCTATGTGATTCCAGCTTTGAAACAAGCTCTCTCTAAGTTGGTAGATTTCTTATCCGTGACTCTTTTATCCATTGTTATTATAGACACAATGTCTTTAGACTTGTTCTCCATAAAAGTGTATGTGCAATACTGAGCACTGTGTCCAGGGGAATCCATTCTCCCATCACCTACAAGTTATAGTGTAATACACGTACTAAGTACACATACTTGCAAATTTCAAAACTCATAGTTTAGTTACTTTGGTAGTAGTAGATTTGTTAACAATACAAGTTTAATTTATGAACTAAGTAGGAAGTTTTCTATGTCCAGTCATTTCAATACAAGCATCTATCCAAATCATTAATGTTTGGGTGACTAATGACTACATCTGTTAGTAGGCAGCT